ACTTGGGATATAAATTGGCTCTCCTACCCATTAGAATACACACCAGGTAAATATCAAACCAGTATTTTCCACCAGTAAATTTACGCACATATTAACCAGTGCCAGCTGAAAGATTGCCAACGAGAAAAACCTACAGACAAATAACCACTAAAAAACATGTCAAACTTTTTTGTACTTATTCTTTAACACCAATGTTAAACATTAATCATGTATGTTAATCTGGTTAAGTAATGAAGAAGACTATTGCAAGCAGCAAACAACATGAAGATCAGCTGCCAGTCCACACTAGATGGGGCTGTTGGATGAGGATGGAGCCTCCTGACATCAAGAACTGTTGCTTTCAGTGTCAAAATGAAGCAGCCAACCTCAAAATGTAGGATTGCACAAGAATTAGAAAATGATCTTTCTTCTTTACAGCAGCACAGTGGACAAATGACTGACAAGCTGTCTCATGGCCAAGTAAGCCCAGTTCTCTTCTTATTTTGTGACAAATTCAGAAGGTGAAAAATCTGGAGTGGATTCCAATTGTTGAACTTGCTGGTGAAAGGTGCAAATCAGTAGTCTAGTATATTCTTAAAAATAATGAATACCCTGACAGGCTCAATAACGTAGAAATGCCCAAAAGACTGAACTAGTGCATGATTATAGGATAACCTTCTTTGTTCAGAAAACGCTGAAGACACGTTGAAAACATTCTCAAACAGGTGGGTGTATCACTCTCAAGGTCTGTTATTAAATACAGAGGGTTTATAACTAACTACTGGTGTCCCTCCAGAACAATGAGGAGAGATTAGTCTTTGCCAGGAAACAGCTCAAAGAGTTTGTACAGTTCTGGGGGGAAAAAATGTTGGACAGATGAAACCAAGATTAACTTGTACCAGAATGATGGGAAGAGAAAAGCATGGAGAAAGAAAGGAATGGCTCATGATGGTGATAAATAAACTGGTATTATATCATGCTTTTCTACTTGGAGTACTCAAAACACTTTTTACTGTCATTCACCCAATCAAACACATTATTACAAGGGCTTTTTTTCTGTATACCTAAGCACCACGAACATTTGCTCTAACGTTGATTGACACAGCGGGGGTTCTCGCCCGAGGATACTTCGATACAGAGTGGAGTAGTCTGGGATCGAAGCACTGACTTTCCGAGTAGGCAATCTGCTCAACCTCAGCTGCAGCCACCCATGACCAGAAGCATGCCACATTGCCAAACATGGTAGAGGGGATGTTATGGGATGAGCATGTACAACAATTAGGCATAACATTATGACTGCCTGCCTGATATTCTGTTGACCATCCTTTTTGCTGCCAAAATAGCCCTGATCCATGGAGGCATGGACTCCACTAGACCCCTAAAGATGTGCTGTGATAACTGGCACTAAGATGTTAGCAACAGATCCTTTAAGCCCTGTAAGTTGTGAGGTGGGGCCTCCGTGGATTGGACTTGTTTGCTCAGCATATCTCACAGATGCTTGATTGGATTGAGATCTGAGGAACCATTTTTGCTTTGTGGCAGGGCACATTATCCTGCTGAAAGAGGCCACACCCATCAGAGAATATAATTTCCATCAAAGGGTGTACATGTCTGTAACAATGCTTAGGTATTTGGTACGTGTCAAAATAACATCCACATGATGGCAGAACCCAAGTTTTCCCAGCAGAATGTTCCCCAAAACCTCACACTACCTCCACTGGCTTGGCTTCTTCCTGTAGTGGATCTTGGTGCTCGCTGTTGTGCCAGGTGAGTGACACCACGTAGTGGGCTATCCATGTGATGTAAAAGAAAACATGCTTCATCAGATGAGGCAATTTTCTCCTCCAGTTCTGATGCGCACTTGACCATTGTTGACGCTTTCGGTAGTGGACACAGGTCAGCAAGAGCCCCCTGTCTGACACCTTTCTATCAGAACCAGCATCAACTTTTTCAACAGTTTGAGCTACAGTAGCTCGTCTATTGGATTGGATCACACAGATCTTCAGTCCCCACGTGCTTCGGTGAGCCTTAGCTGCCCATGACCCTGTCACTGGTTTACCACTGTTTCTTCCTTGGACCACTTTTAAAAAATATGATCACTGCAGAACAGGAACACCCCACAAGAGCTGCAATTTTGGAGTTCTAGCCTTCACAATTTAGCCCTCGTCAAGCTTGCTTTAATCTTTGTCCATATTTCCTGTTTTTGTCAGCTTTGCGGACATAAATGTTCACTTGCTTCTTAAAATATCCCACTCAAAAACAGGTGTAATGATGAGGAGATAACCAGTGTTATTGACTTCACCTGTCAGTGGTCATATTGTTATGCCTGCTTGGTGTATGGCTCTAAGTGGAACTAGATCACTAGTGTTTATCGATTATAAGAATGCCGATATAAGCAGCATGAATTCTGAAATGTGCATTACTATACTCTCTGCTCAGATTCAGTCAGATGCTGCAAAATAGATGAATGATTACCCAAAAGCATACAGCAAAAGGTACCCAAGATTTTCTCAAGACAATGAGATATCAAGGGCTAAGTTGGTCACCTGACTGGCAACCCCATCTAGCATGCACTTAGTGCACTAAGTACAAAAACAAATGCAGAAAGACCCATAAACAAGCAGCAGCTGACATTTCTGCAGTAAAGGCCTAGCAGAGTGTCTCAAGGGAGGAAAAACAGCATTTAGTGATGTTTTCTGGTTCTACTTCAGTCATCACTTGCGCCGTTACTGAAAATAGAGGACTCTGTATACAAATGGCTATAAATAGCACAGCCATTTGGGGGTGTAGGCAGCAAAGCTCCAATAAATGTGTAACTGTCCAGACACTCATTTAACTCCACGTGAGTTTCATAAAACAAATTCACAGTTTGATACACTGAACACATTTTGAAGCATCACAAATTTTGATGTGACAGAGAGAAACATCACTAGTGATTTAAAAAAAACAAAAGAAACAAACAACAAAGTTAAAAGTACAAAATGTACATCACTAGAATGCTGTGAGATGTTGCATGTCATGCAGTTGGGATGAAACATGAATCTGAATTTCCAGTATTGCTAGTTATGCAAGAACACCTACAAATTGTGCAGGATTTTGTGTGAAAGAGGAAGAAACATGAGGGTGGGGATAATATACGTTGCACTCTGTGGGCATCCAGTGCAAAGAAAATTTCTTTCATCTGATAATTAAGAATTATCTCCTGATCTCTAATCCAGTGTAATAAGGAGGCAACTGTGTCAGCTTTTTTCTTCACCCTCGGTTTTTTAAAGGCACAGATGCACAACAAACAATCATTTTTGTTGTGCATTCAAACCACTTTCAACTTTGATTATTTCATTCAAAATGCAGTTCAGATTGACGCTGGACAATGGGGCTGCTTTGGTGGAGAGTCTACTTTGTCTTGGCCAAGGGGGTCAAGTCATATGGCTTGGGTTTGGTTGCTGCTAATGGGGGAGGGGGTGTTTTCTTTCAATACCTCCTCTGAGCCAATAAGCAGGAGTGTATACTGAGTGAATCCAATTATCATCTATAAACCTCCTTGTAACAGAGAACAATACACTTTGATCACATGGAATACAATAAAGCAAAATTGTCTTTATTGTTTACAAAAAACATACAGTGTATATTTAATTATATTTAAAAAATAAAACTTGTGAAAAAAACTTTCCAATCGTTTCTTGCCCACTGATTTCTAATACACATATTTTATTATGTCCTGATTACCCAGAGAGCAATTCGGCACTATTTGAACATACTGTACATGATTGCACCGTTTGCAGAATCAGACTTCATTTTAAAACACTGCAAATTTCATATAAACATATGAAGTTAATGTTTAACCGTTTTTGTAATCTTTGACTGTCAAGGAACTGAACTGGGATGCTGTAAAATGCAAGTAAGTGGTTACAAGTGGAGTTAAAAAGGCAATAAAAAGTGCTCCAACAACAATAATGCGCCTCTAACGTGTGATTATAAAGTCTGGGCTGGTCATTGTCTCCATATCCAGCCTGGCAATGAAAGAACACCATGTCTTGATGTGTGCTCCTGTCCCTTTAAGCAGATCACGCCCATCCCCGTACAACTGTTTTATGCAAATTAGACAAGCTGAACGTGTCATGAGCCAATCAGAAGCGGCTTTCAGCCGCGGGAGATCCGAATTTCGCGGGATGAAGTTTGGCGGTAAAAAGACTGCTCTGCCCCATCTCTTGCCCCCTTGTATGGAGAGAGGAGCTCTGAGGTGGACGGACAGGAGTGGCATACTGGGTCGGATTCAGCACCAGAGGGAGTCACAATCATTTGTTAATCTCCAGCTGGAACCGGATCTCAGTGAGACCTGGAAGCCTTGGAGAGTTAAGCTTTAAAGTTCTGGACGTTTGAAATAGTTTATTTATTCAGGAAGCTATTCTTTATAACTGGTAAGGCAAGTTTCCTCTACACTGTTACAGGACAAAGGATAACAACACCGACCAGCCTGTTAAATGTACTAAGGATAAACGTCACATTATAACATATAAGCCTGTACTGCATGTGTAATCCATGCGGCTTGCAGCTAATTCGGCAGTTTACGCTGTGAAAGTTGCTTTTGTTTTGTTTGTGTGTGTTACAGTATTGGCAGTTAATATATTCATAGAGGTCCCGCAGTAAGTGAAGCTTGCTGAGCGATTCAGTGTGCTCAAGTACAGGCACACTTCTGCCTTCGCCTCACCGGTCCGGTTAAATTTAGTCTACTCAGGAAAATGATGCGGATGCCTAAAGGCGTCTCGCCGGCATCGGCTCGGCAGGCAGTGGGGCTGCCTTGCTCTCAGCAGAAGATGAAGCTTTTGTCCACCGGTGGAGTGAAGACCGACTTCTTCCTCACCGGACTGTCCAGTCCGCAGATGAACACGGTACCGGCCGGATATTTCACCCAGATCTGCAACACCAGCGTGGCCGAACAAAGAGCCAACAGCCTGTATTCAACCCCCCATGGACCCGAGGTTAAACCCATCAGATCATCCTCCGGGCGACTGCCGGTAAATAATCACACAAATACAAGCCTGGGGTCGTGTTTCCTTACTGTTTAATATCCAGCGAATGATATGCATAATGTCCGGGGAGGAATATTTAACTTTTTTCATTGCTATGCATGTTTGAGAAGGGTGCATTCAGATATGTTTTGACGTGATAAGCCACAGAGGGGCCACTGTGGCTGCTTCTGCTGATGTGCATGACTGGTGTCTTCTCTCTTTCTTTTTTTTCCCCCTTATCCATGCCAGGCTGTGTGACATCTTCTCCCGCAGTCCAGCTGTAGCTAAGACAAGGCCAGACGCCTTGTTCTGTGTTTGATGGTTTTGATGAGCCAGTAGGGGTGCTTAGAGAGAGGCCCCACTCTCTTGTGCCCAAATAACGAGTGTCCCCCCTCCTTGGTGCAGCAGAGCTATTTTTTTTTTTTTTTTTTTTAATACAAGCAAACAATGCAGGGGCTCGACCAAGCTGCAGGAAAGACACTTAAGGCAAATTCATAGCTTCCCAACACTTGTAATGGGAGATAACACACACAACAGATGCTCCACCCTCACTTCCCATTATGTCAAAACAGGGTCTGTGTTGGACTGTGGGAAGGAAGCATAGGTCAGAGGTCATAACCACAGAACAAGTGTATTTTCTGGAGTGTGAAAGTATTACTATCGGAAGCCCTAAAGCATCACCAATAAGTAAAGGATTAACCTGTTTTGTAAAACACATACACAGTTGGCTTTAATGATGTTAAGTAATGTCGTTCATTTTAAACTCGAATGCTGAAGATTATTTGAAAATCCTGATCTGAGAAGATTGGATGACACTCAGCAGCTTTTTAGTGCTCCACACCTGTTGTTGTTTGTTGTATTTGGTGTCTTTATTCCAGCTGACTCGTCAGCCCCGGAGTCTTTTTTTAGATTTAATGAATTGCAGTAACGCTAAAGGGGTTAGAGTGCGTACAGGGTTTTCAAATCTCATGTCAAATCCCCAGCCCTAATAGGCCCTTCAAGAGGATTAGATGGATATAAGTAAAGTGAGAAATAGGGTACCACCTGGCATATCATGTGCCAATGTGAACCTAACTGCTGTCAAAGTGTGTATGCATTGTTGGTTTCTAGAAATATTACGTGCATTCACGCTTGATAACCTGGTTTTCGCCTTGAAATCCAACCTTAAAGTTTGGCCATATAAGTGGTCCATACTGGATTTGATGTGGTTCAGTAGGCTTTATGACACGACCCCCGTGTATGCAGTCATGTCGCCTGTGTTTTTGTGCATGCACACTGTGACCACGGTAACTTCTGTTTTCAAGGGATTTGAATATTTTCAGTTGTTGCACATTGTCACAGGTGCACGTTTCAATTTACCAGAAAAACAGGAGCCTAGTTCGGGTTGGCAGAAGTGACGGCACGGTTGAAAATACGGATGAGGTTTCAAAAAGCTCAAGAAGCTTAAGAAACTTCCTCTGGATCACTTCAGTAATTTGGGTAAACTTAATCAAAGGGAGTGAACCCACCTTAAAGTTTCTGTTTTTAAACTTATCATTTTAAGTGATTTGATTCCCGTGTCTAGAAATAAGTGGTACAGTGGGCTTTAATGATGTTTGAGCGTATTCCTTCTATTATACGTTAGTTTTGTTGCACTAATATATATTTATGATTTTGACACAAGGATGTCATTATCATTATGTTTGGGTTTGAATGACTAAAAGTAACGAAATTTGAGTTGCTCTTGTATGTGTTGCGATGGCTGGTGGTAGCTATCTTGCAGGATACATTTGATGTGATGATATTATGAAGTTTTATTGACGACAGTAAAGAAGCTGAAGATAATAATGTGTTGCTGACACAGCTATTTCAGTGCATGTTCAGTCATGACTTCTCTGTTTACAGGAAGTGTGGCCTTTTCATGTACTTACGGCTCACTTCCTTTAACCTATACAACATTATAACCACAGCTTTTTTCTTTAAGCTTTCCTTTTTTAAAACTTTGACTGGGAAACCAGATTCTAAAGCTTAGCATTTATTTATTTTAAGTACAAACAATCTAAGCACATACAAAGTCCCACACGTTTGTAGGCACCTACCTACAAAAATAAAAAAAAAAAGGTTAATATTTGACTGATTTTAGTAAACTTCAGCTGCAGAGATCCAGTCTTTACTTATTAATCTTACCAACTCTAGAAAAAGGCAACGTATCAGCTATTGGCATGTGAATTTTTCACCAGGGTGTGTAAACTGTTGATAAACTGTTGTCTCTGCTTCCTTTCAGCTCGATAGGGATGTAAATGTGTTACAGTATTCAGACCTACAGCCAAAGTCCAGGGAAGCCCTTTTCTCTTATTGGACTGCGGATGAATGAATTTGTCAGTTTAGGCAAAGTTCAGTACAGTCAAACAGCGGTATGGCAACAGGATGCATCTCCATAATATTCACCAGGAACAATGTCCCATTTATTCCCTGCTTATGTGACGTACTCGGAGTTTCATGGAATGCGCACAATCCACCACAACTGAGTGATTACGGATGTCAGCTAATGCCTTAGTCTTTCTCCTTTGGTAATTTTTAGGAACACACACATCTCCTGCAACCAACCTTCAGCTCTGGTTTGACCTTTTTTTAGCCCCTAGGGTTAACAACCCATTCAGGCTAATGCTTTGGTGGGATATTGGACACAGTACCAACTGTATGCATTCTCTCTATTATCTGTTTTGTTGGTGTGTTTTCCATTTAACCCCAGCTTCAGGCAAATACCAGCCCTACAGGGCAATGCTCTCTATAGGGGGAGTTTTGCATTTCAAAGCAGCTTACCCTCATCAGGCAGGCAAGCCACTGTGGGGACGGATCCACACCTCTGTTTAACCGCTTAAGAGGCTGTTGTAGGGCAACTTTTGTTTTTCCTTTATGTCCAAGGGTGTGGTAGTGAAGGGGCTCGGTACAGAGCGGTAGGTACTTGTAGGCATACTGAAACTTGCCCTTTGCCTGGATGGAATCTAAGTCTGGTGCAGCCTGACTAGCAAGATCTGTTTGTTTGAGGAGAGGCCCGACTGCAGAAGCCCTTCACGTGATTATGATTACATGCGTGGAGTTTACAGCACAGCAGCAGAGACGGCGGGAACCGGCCAAAGAATATACAGCAAACAGAAGGGGCCGCGTGCAGTAGATGGGCGTAACTGGGCAATCGGGCAGGGTGAGGTTATAGCAAACGTGAGTGGCGTGATACTGCCAGTCTTTGAGATAACGTGCTAATAAGGAGGGCAGCTGACTCGGGCCTCTCCCATCGTCTCTTATAGCTGCACCATACGTATGCGAGAGCTAGTTTTAGGGTGTGAAAGCTTTTGGATTCAGATTTTCACAATGTTGTGTTCTAACACCTTAAAAGTGATGTGTGCTAGGCGGCATACCTGTGCACTTTCTGTAAAATGTAACCATTTCTCAATAGCTGCACTTCTTCTTTCAGTGGTCTGTTAGTCTGTTAAGTGAGGAATTTAAAAAATAAAAGGTCTTTCCTCTAAATGACTTTGGGTTTGCGTAATATGGTTGAATCACCAGAGAAAGCACTCATGCAAATGAAGGAGCACCCAAGCCCTCACTCTGATGTACAGCTGCAGGGGGAAACCGCTGGTTCCATTCTTACAAGTCATCATGCATCAGGCTATGACTCAAATTGTACACGTGCATTAAAAAGTTTGACTTGACACACGTTGACCTGCTCGTTTTAAGTCATAGAAATGACAAGTCTTCAGCCTTATTTGGTCAAAAAATGCGACGTTTTTTTCTTTGTGCTGGGACACTGAGTCAATGGAAAGCTGTGGCAGTTTTTCTCTGGTTAAACCACAGCTGTCACGGCTGTAGGCAGTCCAACTGGTATCATCTGCTTCCTTTCTGCGACTCCAAGTGTTTGATAGCGACTTTCACGACCATCGGCCAATGAAAACTCAAAGTTTGAATCGTGCAAGAGGTCGTTTTAGAGGCAACAGTGAGCATTTTGTTCTTCGGTAGCTGTTCACCGTCCTGTTGCGGGTGTCTCTGTATGCCTGACTGTGTGTTTTAGGGATTAAAATCTAGCCTGCCAACAGCACGGGGCTGCTCCAGATGTCACGAGTCAACAGGTGGACGTGTTAGGGAGAACACTGGGGGACAATGGCAGCCTTCATTATCCCTTTACTCACACATGCATAGGCACATCCACACGCGGTAACGTGAACTCCCTGCTTTTCCCATCTCTGAAAAAGCAATTTCCCTAAACCTGTTAACTAAAACAGTTCACTGGCCGCATGTACGCTGTCGTGGCAAAAGGGATTATTCGTGAGGAGACACGGTGAAAGGAGTTTGTGAGATCTAGCCATGCACTACAAATTACCCAGCAGCCAGAGTGTGCTGAGGTGAAATTGCCTCACTAGCTCAGTCATTGTGTTTTTGTGTGGGCAGTTGTTGGATTTCCAACTGACAGCAAACGTTCTCGTCCACCGTGAACTTTTGATGATGACAGCATATCTGCACGTGGGGTGTGGTGGTAATTTCCTAATCCTTAAGAGAGTAGCGCTTTCACTTCAGCTAAGTAGGCCAGTGGATGGCGGGAAAAAAAAGCAATGGTCATTTGAAGATTTTATATTGGGTTACAAAGGTTGTTCATGTGCTTTTGATTGTATGATGCATCGCTGTTATGGTCAGATAATGTTCTGCTTGTGTGCGCGCGTGTGTCTCTGTGAGGAGCCTGTGTGCTAAGCACAGAAGGAAGAGGGTTGAGAGGGGGGAGGAGAGGTCATTGAGTGATTCCAGGGACTTCCTGACGTATGGCAGGCAACGAGTCGGGCCTATAGACCTCCCGCTTCTGTTGACTGCAGACAAACAAAATCAGCCCCTGTTGAAGTGCTTGGGAAAGTGTGCGTGTGGGGGGTGCTTTGTTCCTGCACTTGAGGGTTGTTGGCACATTTACGACATGGTACTTTTAAACAAGCCCCTATTTAGCCGTCTAGCATTCATGCTACTGTTCTACAAAAGGTCTGGACTTGCCCTACAAACTATTTGATTCTTTCAGCTTTTTAAAGTCAGTAGGATGAGTTAAACACTTCCATAATGTGCTTTTGTTCAGCCTACACTGGGATTGGAAGGATTTCAGTCTTATACACCCTTTATATTTTCTTATGTAGTGAAACAGCAGTTAATACAGAGGAAGTAGTAGAGCTGTAAGTCACACCTGCTTTGTAACATTTGCATCTTTTTGTTAATCTTTGATAAATGTCTTCCCTTTAGGCCAAGAGGAAGCTGGATTTAGAAGACCCTCTGTATCTGCCAGAGTTTCGCACGCCAAAAGGAAAATGCAGCATTGCAGCACGGATACCAAGCCCAAGGAGTGAGTAGACTGTACATCTTTTGTTGCGTTTGTGTACAGCCCTTCGTGTCTGCTGTGACGGTGTTGAAAGTGCTCTATGAATAAAGTTGGTGTGGTACACATCAGTGGGTGGAAAATATTTTTTGTACTATGCAAAGGGAAGAAGCAGTTCAACATTAAAAGAAAAGAATAAGAGCAAACAATGAAAAGAAGTTGATTGTACGGTACTCTTTAGCATTAATCTGAACCCAGGCAGGGTGGGTAATGCCAGGTTCGCATGACACGACCTCAGCCTGATTGCGTCCTGAACCTTTGGGTTGTGAGCAAACACGAACAGACCTGTTTGCTATGGGTCAAACTGACATGGCAGGAAGACTACTGCTGAAGTATTCCGCAATAGTTTCCTCACTTTCTGCGAAGCTCACCCATATGAGCACAGAGTGCGGTACCAGCAGCTCAGTTGCGTACAGCTTTACACATAACAGATAAAATAAAATAAAAAGCAATGGTGTAGCCAGGAGTAGAGAGCCAGTATCATAAACTGGCTTGTTGACATTCTTTTCCTAGAATACACAAGCTAGCGCCTCCTTCCCAACGACATCTCAAATCTCACAGCTCAGCGGGAATGACGGATCAGGGAGGAATGTGCGGTCTGCCGTGTCTCTCAGTTATGAAATTGCAATGTCTTATGATTGTTTGATGGACAATTCTCTGGAATTAAGGAGCCCTGAGAATATGTTATTACTAACATTATCAGACCTATTGATCCATTTTCTATCACCAGTGTGGTTATATGTCATTGAGTCACGGGGAGAGCACAGTAAGCAGAGATGCCAGGACCTCTTTCACAGTATTCCGGGAGAATACTTTAGTGTTCCCAAGACAACAGAGGGCCATAACCTCCGATGTGCCCCGAGTCTTACACAAAGATTCCCACCAGCTGGAGCTGCCTAAACCACCTAAACTTGGTCTTTGATGCAGAGGAGCAGAGACGTCCAACTAATCAAGACTGATTATTAAACCTGTAGCAGATTAAAGCAATATGAAGACACAGTCATCGGAGACAGATGCTGTTTCTGGTTTACAATACCATACCCATAGCTCTTATTTTCATATTTTCCGTGCGAGGAAGAAATATTGCTGTTTGGAGGATTATTTGTAATTTCGAACATGATATCAAACATAGAAAGTAAAACATAAAGGCAGTAATAAATCTAGTTGACACATTCTAATAACTGTTTTCATGTTTCACTGTTGTCAACAGCTTGTATGACTAATACAGTAAATATTTGAATCAGTGATCTCTCCGCCAGCTCATCAGCCAAATAAAACACTTGAATGAATTAGTAAAAATCAGAGTTGTGTAACTCAAGCACATTTCTAGTCTTATGCGCTACTTTTCTGTGTGTTTCCTCGCAGCTCCAAAATCTCCGGGTGAGCGGACGCGGTACGACACGTCATTGGGCCTGCTGACCAAGAAATTTGTGGGTCTCATTGCTGAGTCTCCTGATGGAGTCCTTGATCTGAACTGGGCCACTGAGGTCCTGGAGGTCCAGAAAAGACGCATTTATGACATCACCAATGTTCTAGAGGGAGTCCAGCTTATCAGGAAGAAGTCAAAAAACAACATCCAGTGGCTGTAAGTAGAAATGCAGAAGAAGGTTAAGTTGCAGGAATAGTGGGAGGTTTATCAACTGCGTGTAGCTCACAGAAGCAAACCAGGGACTGCGTAACTGTTAAGTGAAGCCTTGGCATTTAGGGTTCCTTACAGACTTTCACAATAATGTTGGGCAAAGCATGGGCAGGACTGTTGACAGCAGCAATTTGGCCTTATTAACAAAGCTGTGTAACATAGTGCAATGCAGCTTGGTTCTTTTTGCTCGTGTCAAACAGCTGAGACAAGATATTAATATCTTATAAAAGTTTGCTTTTATAACATATTTACTCTAGATTTTTATAATGATTTTACAAAGTAGTGTTTTTATGCTGCACACTTTCTGGACTAATTAGTAAAAAAGATAGATATTTGCAAAAAACCTACCGATTGTTTTTGAGTCTACTTATACTGGGCTTTGATTGCATTCTAAAAATGTCTCCATTGCTTTTATTCTTCATGAAGTATTAAAAGGAAGAAAAACTTCATACTGGTACTCGCTTGTCTGCCCCCTAGTGGCAGTCAGCAGACATTGCAGTGCCAGTTGTAGACACTACCTAAACGTGTGGAGTTGTTTTGACTGTTACAGACTTTTATTATTCATAGACGTGTTTATTGTGTGTATGTGTGTGTTTCTCCAGGGTTGGAGACGTGTTTGAAGGTGGAGCGGGTGGAGGGGAGAAGGCCCGTGCCCTGAGGAAAGAGCTTGGAGACCTAGAGAGAGCAGAGAGATCTCTGGATGAACAGATTCAGTCCAGCACCACACAGCTCAAACAACTCACTGAATATAAAGAGAGTCAGAGATATCCTTTACATAGAGCACCGTGGTTATCCACGTCATTCTTTCATGATCTCCGTTTCCGCTTGTTGGCATGTTCCGCTGTAGCTTGCTTGGTTGAGTAGGTAACGCATATGCTAAAAGGCAGCAGGGGCGTTCGTCTTTCCCTACTTTACTATCAGATTCCTACTAATATCTTGCCAGATATAGCCAAAAAATAATAAAAGAGAAAAAAAGACAAGCACACACGCACGTGTATTTAAATTCCACTGTTGTTACCCTTAACCTCATGATCCACATTGGGCTATGTGACGTATCAAGACATCCGCTCCATCGGCAGCCTTCAAGACCAGACAGTCATTGCTGTTAAAGCCCCTGCAGAGACCAAGCTTGAGGTGCCAGACACAGCAGGGGTGAGATTTGGTTTATGTTTCAGTTTGTCCCCTTAACCCCTCCTTCCTTTAAATTGTGCATTTGTCCTGATGTCAGATTGTTTTGATAAATAAATGCTTCTTCTCTTGTTTCCTTACAGCAGGGGTCTTTGCAGATCTATTTAAAGAGTAGAAATGGTCCCATAGAAGTCTACCTATGTCCTGATGAGGGTCTTGAAGAAGCTAGTCCTGTTAAGAGTGTTGTCACTCCCAAAAAGGAATTCCCTCAAACGCAAGACCCTCCCGCTGCAACCCCAATAGGACCACCGAGTTACAGCGTCAAAGAGGAACCTGTTGACTGTAAGCTTTGAGTTTTGAACAGAATACCACCTTTATTTGAGCTACCCTTACTTTGATCGTACCCGTGCACTAGTCATAGACTGCATCTAGTTTTGCAACTAGCATTAATTTAGTTTTACAAGTTTTACAAAGTGATTTTATCCCAAGGCTTCCAGAACATTAAAAATGAATTGCACCTCTTCAGCTGGAGCCAGTCCAAAGATCAAATAGCACCATTAAAGCAGAAAGGTCACACTTCTTTTTGGCGGTTTCATGCGATGCCATGATAAATCGGTGACAAATTAAACAAATGGCATGTTATTTAATCTGCTTTCGTTTTGCTTGTTTGGTTGTTGTATTTTGTTTTGCATTCTGCAAAAAAATCTTGAACTGTTCCTTTAACTTTTTCATTATTTAACCCCTCAGCTGAAAGCATAAAAAACAATGTGCACAAGAGTAGAATAAAAATAGAACTTGTATGAGGATAAAAGATGTAAAAACTATTCCAATTTAGGAAGCTAAAAAGAAAAGTGTAGCAGTACACCACCTCTCTAAATGTTTTTTTAATGCAGTGCCCTTAGCACAAAATTAATTTCCAACGCTTTCTTCAACACAGCCAACATTTCCGCAGCAGCTCCAGCCGCCTCCTCAGCTGTGACCTCCACGTCCTCTCTGCTTGACGTAGAGGGTCTGCTGGGTTTGCCCCCGAGCCTGCTTCAGATAACCGAGGACCAGCTTCCTGGCACCTCCTTCACGTCAGACCCCAACACCCCCTTTGTCAGTTTTTCTCCACCTTTGGACCACGATGACTACCTCTGGAGCCTGGAAGACAGCGAGGGAGTGTCAGACTTCTTCGACACTTACGATCTCGGAGATTTGTTGAAAAGCTGAGGCTTAGATGAAGGGATGGGGCGGAGAAAATTCAGGGAGAAGAAGGGTAATATTTAATCGAATGCCTTCTTGGGACAAACTATTACACTATGAAGCCATCAGTTTTAATGTCCGATGGAGGAATCAACTTCTTTGTTTAAATTATAAAGTGAAAATATTTGTATATATAGTAAATTTGGGCAGTAAGTCGAGTAAGTCTCATAGAGAGCAGGAGTTATTGTTTATGTCGTATTGTCAGCGAAAGAACTGATGATGCATTTGTTTATCAGTCATTGTTTAGTGTGACCAACTCAGGAAATTTTTTTTTACCCCTCGTTTCCAAAGTCTAAATAATTGTTTGTACCACTCTTTGGCCCATAGGGGGCAGCATTGTATAATGTCAGCTTTAACTGCCATGCAGCGTTACAGGATTCAATCACTGGATCAAAGTAAGCTAAAGCCATGAAGAGCCATACACACAGGGTCTGTTTGCAGTGTTTTCACCACTGATCAAATTAAGCTGTGAATGAACTTCAGTGTCGACATGCATCTACAGCTCGAGAATACACATCAGGTGAGATCTCAGCATAGATTTTAGACATTAAAACTGGTTTTCAAAGGTGCTCATGTTGCTTCTTTCATGCCTTAAGCTTTGTGTCAAGCCTTGTGTGCCTGAATGTGCAGGCTGTGACCCAGAGTCGAGTCAGAGGTCATGACAAATGGTGGCTATTTTTTTTTTCTTTTTATCTCTTTGAACATGTACAATCTTTGAGCGACGCCTTGTAGGTTTGGCAGCTTTGTTTCAGTTGTTGCTCTGTTGAGTTTAATAGTTGTCTTTAACTGAGTGGTTTTAATTTATTAGTGTAAAGCTACTATTGTATTTCTTAGGAAATAACCCAAAACGAATTAAATGCAGCATCTGTGTTGCAAGGGGGGTGAAGAGAGGTGGGTGATGGGGGAGAGGAGGGGGTTAATTGATGTAAATGAGGTGTAATTAGAGGAGCAATTTCTTTTTCCGCTAGTTTTAAAATGAATGAACTCTGTTACTTCAGCAGAAACAGAAACAATGAGAAATTTGTCTTTGCTGTTCAGGTTTTAGGCCCACAAATGCTTTCCCTGCCTGCTGCGGCGTAACACTTTTACATGTCAGAGATGTGCTCCTGAGGATGGAGTAGCTCTGACTTTAATCTGTTTGTTTGTTTTTAAAAAGTGTTTTTGAAGTGTTCTAGAAATATAAAATTTGGTATATTTTTGGCTTTCCCTCTACACTGCAGAGATAAGCTAACTGTCCTGTCCTATCAAAACTTGAAATTGAGTGTTGTGGTGCGTATTTGACAGCTTGGGAAATGGTTGTTGTGCGTTTGTGCGTGCAGGTTTTTTTACAATGTAGATTAGAGAATTGTGAATTCAGATTTTGTAGTGTGTGTGTGTGTGTTTTTTTTCAATGAGCATTATTGTTTTTGGTATTTGTACATAACTTGTTTTGTATTTATACCTATTTTTTTCTAAAAATTTGTTGGACTGTTGTAAGTCATTCAGCACTTAATGATTTGTAATATTGTGAAGTTATTAAATAAAATATACTGCAGCCATTGTTTACACATGAATTTGAGTTCCTCTTTTTTAATCATGTCAGAAAAACCGGAATGCGTATGAATTGCTTTGTATGACGTGACTCTTGGTTTGATATTCTGATGTATCGCTAATGCTTCGACATCTGTGGAAGCCATATGAAAGTTTAAACAGTGCAGGCACTGATCTAATATAAAGTGACATTTCCTAAAGAGTGACAATAAGTCTGCATCAATAGTTACAACGAAACTGAAACAGCTATAAACACATTCAGACAGGTGCACAAAGGCACCCATCATTCTTCACAAGCTTGTTGCTTTGGAAACCGCTCACAAAAGGGAGCAAGCAATCAGCAGGTCAAAGTTCAGTGGGTCACGCTGCAATGGTGTGTTGGGGGTGAAAAATCTGCAAGGAAAAACGATGCCATTAATTTTAGTCAAAGCACATTGCTGCAAGTTAGAAATGCAACTACAAGTTTCTTCAGAGATCGGTACGGGGTTTGTGAACACTTCTTTAGGAATAACTAAGCTCGCATGGAACTCCAAGGAGCATCCACGTGACTTTTATGATCAACACGAAGTTTATAAAGCTTTATACTCCTTACAATGTAGAGAGAGGGTGCTGGTTCTCTGCAAACTGTCTGTTAACGGAAACTACAGAACAGCTCGTGTTCTGAACAAGAGATCTTAAACAAGCATGTCAGGCATCACATGACAGCCCTGGCTGCAGGGTTTGCATGCTATCTAAAGAGCAAGCTACCTTGTTTCTGTTACTGCTACAGCAGCAATCAGCTGAAGTAAATCTTGTCAGCTGGATCGTTTAATTGCAGAAACTATAAATACCTCTTTCTGACTAATGTTCACCAGTTTGCAGCACATACCCACACAGTCCTTTAAAACATTACATGTTGTTATTTACGGCTCCAGGATGAGGAGCGGTTCTGCTTGGTTGGGAAACTTTGGGTGGACTTATAACCTATTAGTTACATGGATAGTATCACTCGTACGACTCAGATGACACTATGACACGCAATTAACATCGATATGAATCACAAACAAGTCTGTCTACCTGTTCCCACTCTGCAAAACCTTTTGTTACCATACCAACTGTAATAACAGGTACACTGGCATTGGCGTCTGTTTGAGGGTGGAGTAAACATTGTTGCCTGCCCAGAAGCCAGACCACGGAGAACCTGCATGGAATGGCCCTGGACTGACAGTGCTCAGTCAGTAAGTCACAGATGATGTATTTTTCCAAAGCAGCAGCTGTCACTTAATGTCAGAGCTATTATTTATTTTTATTTTTTTTACATCAAAGCTGCTCTTCAATGCAGGTTCTTGAGGCAAATTAGTTTCAATGGGGCTCCAGTCCTATTCAATACACCTCATATGCCTATTCCAGTGGGAAACTAAAGCCCTGTGTTTTGCAATAAATCAACTTTACTTTGTCTTCCCAGTCCCCCAATTTTCAGTCATCCATGTCAACCAGAAGAGGGGGTATTTTACGGTAAGCCCGGGCCCCCCCTGTCCTGACAGGGGTAGTAAATTGATAGCAGTGCTAGTGAAGCTGAGTCAACAAGCAGCAAGATGAGGGAGATATTTTTTAGGGGGGGAGGGTGGCTGGAGGCCGGCTTCATAGAAGAACCTTATCCTGCTCCTCTGGGCTGCTGGGAAGCAAGAAGGGAAATCCGGGCAACTGGAAGATGTTGCTGTAACCTCCAACGCCGTGTGTGCGTCACAGAGAAAGAGAAGATGCATTCGATGTACATCACTTCCTCACTGCCAAAGTTTCCCTGCTCGCAGTCTCTGAGAGGAGTTTGCTCTAACACAAGAAATGATGTGGCATGAAAGGGAAGCAACCAGTTAAATTACCCTTAAGAGGGGAAGAAGAGAGTTTCTTAATATTTAAAAAGAAAAGGGCAGTAAAGGGTGGAGACAAGGAGGGAAAACATTAAGTGAGTCACATTTCCAATAAAGCTTTGATCTTTTTCTGCATTCCTGTGTTATTCCACCTTTGTCGACCTTCCTGCACACAAATTCTCACTGCTAAACTCCAAACATCACTGAACAAAAAGGAAAACAATTTTCCCCTGTCAATTTTTCATCTCTTCTCTCCCGCCCACCCTGGCCTTGGACTTGGGTTCTTCACTACATGTTAGTTCATTGCCTGAGCAGACCGGTTTGCTCAGTTTTACAATAGGACCCGGGCTCAAAAGGCTGGCTGGCATACAAAGGCTCTGCTTCTTTACTGAGTGCTGCAAAGAAACTGAAGGAGGGTATTGTTTGAACACTGCAAGCCCCTGCATTACATCAGCTAGAAGTGCATTAAAAAAAAATGAGTGCATGCACAGTGAGTATGAAATCACACACGCTGCACATATGTCACAATAATAGATGCCAGCATGTATCCATGCAAGTTGCAAATATACAATATCTGTTTTCTGTCTTTCCCTGCTTAGCTTCCTCACACTTGGAGCCATGCAACAAACAATGACTGAATGAGGCCCTGCTAAAGTGGGTCGCCAACCCTATTTATGTGATGTGTGCCCTCACTTCCTTTCAAGAGTGCACATTTTTTCACAATGATTGAAAGGTTAAAGAGTGGGGTTTTACAGCTTTTCCTCTGGAGACTTTGGTCCACATTTTAAATTGTGTTGCGCCTTATCTCATAAGGAAAAACCAGAGATATGTTTGTTTGGACTCCAGAGGAACTTTTTTTCCCCCATAGCCCCCCCTTTGAGCTTTCAGTTTAAGCTCTGTGTGTGAGTGAGCGTGTGTGCCTGTGGGTGGGTGTGTGTGCAACACAACAATGATATCTTGTACTGCTATGCATGTACATTTTGGCCTGTCTGTGTTTTGGCTTAATAACACGACATGCAATTCAAAAGGAGCTTGTCTATCTTTGTGACTGCACACACACAGTACCACTGTGAGCGCCCACATTTAAGACACTGCATCCATTCTGTGCTTGTTCACTGAGCGGCAGTAATAAGCGGGAAAAGAGAACAGATAAAATCCTTCAAACAAAAAGTAATCCTATTTTTGCTGATTGAATATGATAGAGATAATCAGTTACCTGTTGAATTGGCAGTAATTCAGTTTTTCCCTTCATGTATCTAATGTAGGCAAATATGTGGTTTTGTGGTAACGCTAAAGGGAGCCACTAAAATCAGCCATCTGCACTTCATAGTGTATTTTATCGCCGCTCAGCCTGAGGCAATGTTCACTGATACAACTCCTTTTTTCAAGTTGACAGGCTTAACAATAGCAGGCATGCAGGACTTATGTTAGACACACAACCCTTGCCTTTCCCCCCCACCTCTCTGATGCACTAGGTCTTCTTTTCTTTTCCCTTTTTTCCCTTTCTTTTCTCCCCAAACGACTACAGGAAATGTCAGTGAGGAGGGATATCAGAAATCCTCCCCTTTGAGAAATATCTTTTCATTAGATGAAAAGGAAGAAGAAGGAGGCTTTGGAGCCTCAGCCAAGAGGATCAAGGTGCAAAGACGCAATGAGCCATATAATTAAAGAGCAGCGCACATAAAAACCCGAATCCTTTTCTCGGGTTTAAAGAAATACCTTTTCCTCCTTCCAGGGTTTTGGTAAAACTGCAAAGTGCAGTTTTGAAAGACAGCATTCAGTGACAGTCGATAAACTGTCCTATCATCCCATCCCATCCATTGAAATTCTTCTCCTTAAGTTAAGTCTGTGAAGGAGGAATTCTGCATCCATGGCGACCGGACTATAGTTTGCATAGAAATGAGAAGTATTAATGAAAGAGGTGGTGAGAAGAACACACACACACACACACACACACACACACACACACACACACACACACACACACGCTTTTCTCTCTGTTTCTGGTTTGCCAGAAAGCACAAACATTCCCACGTGACGGTGGAGTTTGCTCCCTCCCTCACTGAATGCGCTCAGTAGCGCGCTGGTGCACCTTCACGCGCACACGTCCTCGGAGTCGCTCGGGACTTGCAAAGTCTAGTTTGACTCAACTTTCCACCTTAAAGACTTTGTTCAAAGGAACTCGAACCCAGATGAATACGGTGTTTTTTTTTTATTATATATTTTTTCAGTTTCCGCAAAGGAAGGAGGGAGTGACCGTACTGTTGCCCTTCTTCTTCTTCTTCTTCCACTTCAAATGGGACTTACATGCGCGCGTGTAACTTTGCCTCACTTTTCTCTTCACTGACTGTCGGACCCGCTTCGCCCGAAACATGCCGGAGCGAATAAGCGTTTCGGACTTTGTGATCCTGACAAACGAGGATTTGTCTTCTCCAGGAACTTCAACGTTTCAGTCTAAAATGAGCGACTGTCGGAGCACAGTTTCAGCCGTGGAGGAGGTGAGAGTTGTGGAAGGGGGAGGTGTGTGCAGAAGACATACACCTTTGTTGTTTACCTGACGTTTTACCCCTACCTGTAGCTTTTTTTTTGGGGGGGGGGGTTAAACTCAAGCTTTAATTTTCTTTTTGTAACACAGTTTGCACGTGAGCACAGGTTTCAGCAGTAAACTTGCGGTCTTTCACGGACCGGTAATTTATTTCCAAAAGGTATAGAACCTACAAATGCAAAGTGCTGTGGCTTTGTGTCGGAAAAAGCGGGACTGTCAGTGTATTCATTTTGGAATTTCATGGTTCCCAGTTTAGGACATGGGAGTAGGTTATGTTTTCTGAAATGTGCAAATTGATGGGTGCTGCACTTGTACAGGACAGGCTTAGAGTGCGTATATGATCTGTTCAGTATAAACCCCAGTGTCTGATTCAGCAAATAAGTGAAGGTTACATGAGGTTACAGTGTTTATGTCGTCGGTCTAGTGGGAGTCAGAGTGGTGGGACACTAACAGAACACACACGACACAGAAACATGCCTGAGTCACACAGAGTGATGGATTGTGTTTGTAAGGGTAAGCATGCACACATGCCCATAGCTGCAAGCAAGTCCGTCTGCATGCCCCTCTTCATAACTAGTACTTTGAAGACTTGTTTAAGGCTTCTCTGTGTGCACATTGGTGTT